ACACAAGCAGGGGGAGTGGGAGAGGGAGAAGCAGGCTTCCTGCTGAGCAGGGAGCCCGATGCGGGGCTCAATCCCAGGACCCTGGGATCATGACCCGAGCCGAAGGCAGATGCTTAACCGACTGAGCCACCCAGGCGCCCCCTGAGGCTACTTCTTAAGACTGAACAGGTTATTCATTCTCATTCTTACCTGATGCTTCTTTGCACACTTTGAGAATTTCCTCTGTATCGGGCCTTGACTCTTGGGGAGTCTAGCCGGGTTGTGCCGTTTCATACTGTTGAAACGAGATTGTTTAAACTCTGCTGATTTCCACGCAAGAAACAGCAGCTGTTGCCAGTGTTATTCTTTCTTACTGAAGCCAAACATGGAGCAGCTGGAGTCTGGAGATGTGCCTTGAGAGGTCACGGGCAGGGCTCATTTACTCATTCTTTTATTTAAACATTTATGTATTTATTTGAGAGACCGAGCACAGGAGGAGAGGGCACAGGGAGAGGGAGAGAGAGAGAGTCTTAAGCAGACTCAGCGCTGAGCGGGGAGCCGGATGCGGGGCTCGATCCCACGACCCTGAGATCACCACCTGAGCCAAAACCAAGAGTCAGACACTTAACCAACTGTGCCACCCAGGCGCCCCTCATTTACTAATTCTAATGCCAGGATTCCACACCAGTAGCCACATCACTTCTCACCAGCACTCCCCCAGGCAGTCAGGCTCCAGACCCGCGGGGGACTTCTGACTTCTGGACTTGTGAGGGTATGCACACTGATGCACAATCAGGGAAATTTGGGGAATTTCTGATAGCTGGTTTGGGATGGTTTGGGATGCTTGGGGGAAGAGTCTGGCAAAACTAAGTTCAGAAATCCAGGGAGGAATGAAGAAAGTATAAAAGTAAAAAAATTATACGAAGTGTTGATGAACTCTAACTTCCATGGGCTTCATGATCACAAAGGGAAAAACCCCTTTGCTTCCCCACTTTCTCTTTTCTGCACGGCATGGTGTTTCCCTGGACTAGTTAATAATAACAACACTGAGAATGATAGCAACTAACATTTACTGAGCACTTTTACGTGTATTAGCATATGTAACGTATTCGCACTCAACTACTAATTAAACAAACGGTCATGTAAATTCACTCTCCAGTCCAACTGGGAAGCAAATGAGTCTGATGATTGTCCTGGAATCTGAGCAGACTCATGCTTCTAATCTCTTCCTCTCTAACATTCAAGAGCTGAGAGATTTTTATTTTCCCTGGAGGCTCATAATAAACAACAAAGTCCTTTTTTTAGGCACGAACTCATTACATCCACCTTGTTAGGCAGGTACGATTGTCCCCATTTTACAGAGGAGAAAGCTGTCGTTCAGAGAAGTAAAGCAACTTGACAAGGCTATGAAACTAGTAATGGTCTGCCTACCCCCTGAGCTCCTACTGTTCATGAATTTTAGGACTGACTTACAAATAAGCACATATTGATGGGGCTAAACTAAACACCATTCTTTTCATTTAAGACATAATCTCATCTAAAGAAAAGATGGATTCTAGAAATACTATTAAACCATCCTCTCATATACTTTAACCTGCCAAAGAACACATATTCTCCCCCCAAGTTAGACATCAATGTTAAGGTAAAACAGTAGTGGGTCAGTTAGAGGTTAATTTATTTTACCTGAATGAGTGCCTTTCTGCTAGTGTTTCTAATAAATCATATCATTTCTGCAGTGAGAAATACTCGGTGTGGTGGATGTTTTTATAATGACCAGGAAGCTGTAAAATGAGGAGGACAGATTAGGGAAATTTTATTTATTTATCTTTTTTTTTTAAGTTTTTTATAACTTTTTTTTATTCTTATGTTAATCCCCATACATTACATCATTAGTTTTAGATGTAGTGTTCCATGATTCATTGTTTGTGCATAACACCCAGTGCTCCATGCAGAACGTGCCCTCCTCAATACCCATCCCCAGGCTAACCCATCCCCCCATCCCCCTCCCCTCTAGAACCCTCAGTTTGTTTTTCAGAGTCCATCGTCTCTCATGGTTCGTCTACCCCTTCGATTTCCCCCGCTTCATTCTTCCCCTCCGCTACCTTCTTCTTCTTTTTTTTTTTTCTTAACAGGGAAATTTTATATTCCATGTAAGATTATTAATAAACCATATAGCAAAAAATAACTCCACTTATTTAAAAATATCTCAACCCTCACTGTTCTGTCCACTTCTGGGGGGGGGGGCGGGGAATAAAGGGACTTTTTCCCGTCACCGTAGTGCATTGGGTTAATAATGCAAATTATCTTTGTGACACTCTCTGCATCGGCTCTCCTTACAACCCCAGCTTCTATAATCTCCCACAGTGCATTCTTTTCAGTAAGTAACACCAAAATGGTGGTGAGTGCATCACCAGAAGATTGCCATTGTCTAGTTAAAACTAAGCCATATTCGTGATGGTCCAGGTTGCTTCAGCTTTTAAATGCTCCCAGGGTGCAGCCTTAAAGAATGCCTCAATTATCTCTTCTGACAGCAGACTGTAGTGCATCCAGTTTCAGTGTGTTCTAGGATGATTTTTAGTATTCACCAAAGAATTATTCACGACCTTTGGTTGATCGTGTTGACAGTGCAAATTTTGACACGACAGCATGGAGTTCCAAGCCTGAGCCTCTGAGCTGAGCAATGGGGCTAGACCAGTGGTATTTTGCACCTTCTCCCTTACCAGGGAGACCACGTCTATCTACTTCATTCACAGAAGGTTCACGTCATTATTGCCAAATTCATTCATTAGTTCAATAAGTAGTTACTGTATAGTCTTCTCTGTACAAGATAATTGTTCTAGGCTGGAAATGGTGGACACATGATCAAAGTTTCTGCTTGCGTGGAGCTTACCATTAGCTAACATTTCTGCCTGTATCCTTCATGGATCTTGCGAATAGAATACCTGTTCTAATTCTGGTTTAGTAGATTCTGATTCTTTTTTCTTCAGTTCTTTTTTTTGTTTTGTTTTGTTTTTTTAGTAATCTCTACATCCGATGTGAGGCTCGAACTCACAACCCTGAGATCGAGAATCACATGCTGTACCCACTGAGCTGGCCAGGCGCTATAGAAGATCCTGATTCTTATAGAATAGGTTTTTGAACGGGTCTTATGAATGTGGTGAATTGGAAACGGGTCTGTTTAGGAGATTATATCTGATTTGTGAAATTAAATTAACCATGTTGTCTTTACCCTAAAAGGTAGATTTGAAGTGGCATCAGCTAGGTGTGTTTGAAACATTCTCTTTATGTCTTCTTTTCCTTTGGATGGTGTAAGGGAAGCAGATGGACTTGAGTGCTTCTTGGGTTGGTTGATCCATTACTTGCATTAGTAAATTAGATGCATCATCATTACAATTATTTTATGAGTACATTAATGGAGTTGTGGAGACTTTTTGTTAAATTTTGCAATGCTAAGTCTTGGAGAGGAAGGAAGAAGTGCTTGATTTCCTTTTTCTTTCTTCTTTTTTTTTAAGATTTTATTTATTTATTTGAGAGGGAGAAGCAGGCTCCCCACTGAGCAGAGTGACCAATACGGAGCTTGATCCCAGGATCCCCAGGATCCCGAGATCATGACCCAAGCCAAAGGCAGATGCTCAACTGACTGAGCCACCCAGGTGCCCCCCCTTTTTTCTTTTAATGGGTTCTTCCAGATCTTAATAATGAAGAAATGCTGTAGAGAGAGAGAACACTGCCTCCAGAGATGGAGCAAGGCATTTTGCAGGCGCTGCTCTGCAGGAGAAATGACACATTTATGCATTCCCACTTTCTCCCTGCTTTCACACCCTAAATAAAAAGGGAGACTATAAATACATACCACACATTTCTTTTTAGAGAATGGTGTGATGAAAAATTATTTAAAACAACATAGGCTTTCCTGATAGTAACAGCTCACCAAGCAAGTTTTCCTAGTATGGGTTCTGTTCTTCCCACAGCCGTTTACTTGAGGTTTCTATGCCAACGACTGAAATCAAAAGGCTTTTCAGAATGTGTGTGCTCTGGAATACTAAGTAAAAATTTTTTTGTTGTTGCTAAGAGGTGAACTCTGTTTTAGCCAGCAGGCCGTGTTGGAAGCAGGGGATTTATTTTTTCTTAGTTTGTCTTAATGCTTGCCAGAAATAACTGCGTCTTTGACCCCTTACTTTGTAATAGAGTGTTTCCTTGGGATTAGGGACATGTATTTTTAAGCTGCTTTCAACACCTTTCCATACCAACTCACAGAAGGTGTATCTTTTGTGTTCAAAGAAAGTTCTGCTTTCACTTTTAAGTCTGCTCAGTAGGAAAGGCAAGAAACCAAAGGTGTTCTGCTCTCGTAGGGATGTTGCTTGTTGCGTCTTCGTCTCCTTTCTTTTAATCACTTACGTCCATCCCTCCTCACTCCATGC